ACCTTTTTTTTTTTTTTTTTTTTTTTTTTTTTTTTTTTTTTTTGTGGCGGGGTGCTGGGAATCAAACTTAAGACCTTGCACTTGTGAGGCAGGCACAGTGCCACTTTGCTAAATTTCTAACCCCTGACCATTCTTGGTTAAATAGTAAAAATTATTAAATTTGGATCTAAATTGAAGTTTTTAATATAGTGTGTGATGAAATAGGGAGTATGTATAAGATATTTGTGCCATAGTTGCATTATCTTAATTAGCAACTATTTTATGGAACTATTTTTATTTGAAACAGTAAACCACTTGCACATATTGTGGATATTTTCTTAATGTGACCGACTGTTTTATACTTACCCTTTTATTTATGCTTTTCTGGTTTTCTTCATTCCAGTGGGTTTGAGTCAATATCTTGTGTGATTTCTTTAATACCATTTTGCCCCTAACCACCACCTTTATTCTGTTCTTGCCAAATATACTACATTTCTATATGTTGTAGGTCCCATAATACAATTATATACTTTGTCTGTTTGCTTTGGAGGAAATGTTCACTCATAGTCTTTTATAATTATTTACTTTTAATGGTTGTGTGTTTGTGGGTATTTGAATTTCTTTCTGAATTTACTTTCAGCCTTAAGAATTTTAGGAATTGGGCATAGTGGTAGTAAATTCCAGAACTTGGGAGGCTCAGACAGAGGTATCTCAAGTTCAAGGCCAGCCTGGGCAACTTAGCATGACCCTCCCTCCAAAAAGGGGTGGTGGGTTGGGCTGGGGATGTAATTCAGTTATAGTCCTTATAAGGTAGCTCCACTGGTAACAAGTACAGTTTTTATTTGAGAATGTCTATTTCATTTATGAAAGGTAGTTTTGCTAGCTATAAGATTTTTGGTTGACAGATTTTTGTCTTTATACTTTGTTATCCCACTGTTTTCTTCCCTTCCTTGTTTCTGATGAGCTGTCATCTGTTGATCCTTGATTTCCTTATACATTATGAGTAATTTTTCTCTTGCTGCTTCCAAGATTTTGTTTTTGACTTGCAGCATTTTTACTGCAGTGTAATTGAGGGTAGATCTCTTTGTACTTATTGTACCATGGAGTTTGTAGAGTTTATTAATATATAGATGAATGCTTTCAGTAACTTAGGGGGAAGGCCTTTGTTATTCCTTTGGGTATCTTTAAAATATATATTTTTAACATTAACTCTCTCCACCTCCTTTTTCACTTTTAAGAAATTTGGTTGTGGTGTGTTATGCTGTTTATGGAATTAATGATCTATATTTTTTCAGTGTATCATTTTAAGTTTTTTTTTTTGTTGTTGTTGTTTTTGCTTAATAAGAAAATGTTCTTACAATGCACTTTATATTTGAATGTGATTTTGTGAAATTGGTGAATCTCAGTGTTTTAAAAACTCCCGGTCTGCATATTTGAGGAATTGTGATATACATCCCAAAATAAGAGAGGCTAAGTTCAGTAGCATTTCACTGTAGAGGAGCCATGACTGCTCTTCTAATGAGTTTGGATATACCTCTCTAGGCTACCATAGTTATGTGCCTAAATTGTGTATGGTGTAGTTAAAGAGATTAAGTCTTAATTCACTTATGGGGCCAGGGATTTAGCTCAGTGGTTCTGGAGTCTGCCTTGGAAGTGCAAGGGCCTGAGTTGGATCTCTGGTACAAAAAAAAAAAAAAAAAATTAATTCACTTGTATTTTTTTAGATTTAAATCTGATCATGAGATTCAAGTTATGGTGGAGGCATGCCTATTTCAGCTTAAAAAATGTTATTTGATGACAGCTGCCCAAATATGTTATGTTGGATTAGTTGCTTAGGGTAGGCAATAGATGAATATGGAGAAATGCTGTAATTTTATTTTAGTCTTATTTAGAGAATATTTGTTATTTAAGGTACTTGTTCTATTTCCCACACTTTAAGGTTTTTAACAACTCAACATTTTTGATTATGTTAAAATGAAATATATTATTGATATAAGCTCTGTTAGTAAGTCTTATATTTGGTCTTTTATTCCCCAAACAGAGACTCTACAGGGGCAGGTAATTCACTGGTCCACAAGAGGTCTCCTTTACGTCGAAACCAAAAGACCCCAACATCCTTGACCAAGCTGTCTTTACAGGATGGACATAAAGCCAAAAAGCCAGCATGTAAATTTGAAGAGGGTCAGGATGTCCTAGCTAGATGGTCAGATGGCTTGTTTTATCTTGGAACTATCAAAAAGGCAAGTTATTTAAATAAATTTTTGCTGTTTTTTGCACTAAACTTTTACTAATCTTAAATTTAATTTTATATTTCTAATTTTAAGAGATCACTCTAAATATATTCATTTGTATTGCAGATAAACATATTGAAACAGAGCTGCTTCATCATATTTGAAGACAGTTCTAAATCCTGGGTTCTCTGGAAGGACATTCAAACAGGCAGGTGCTACTGTCTCTATTGAACATGATTCATAGTGAAATTTTATTTTCTCCAAGCTGGCATTTTCTGATAGTCTTTTGAGTATGTTCTATTGTAGTAACTCAGTAGTGCATTTGAGGAACTGTCGGGAAAAATTGTGCTGCATGAAAAATTATTCCTTTTTATGTTGAAAAACATGGGTCTGTGTTGTAAGAATGAAACATGCTATATTGCTTTCTATTCCTTTTCATTCTGTGTGTCTCTTTCGGCTTTTTAAAAAATGTTCTGTAAGTTCTTGCAGGTTTAATACAGGTCCGTTGTTTTGTCCCTCCCTTTCCTCTCTTTTCTTTTAAACGTGGCAGAAACTGTCCTTTACAACAAAGGCCTCATCTAGTATATCAGACTAGTCATTATATATGTGTTAATAAGTGAATTTTATCTAGTAAGATACTTTCCGGTTCATTTAAATAAGGAAAAAATGCAACCACGTTAAAAGAAAACATGGCAACATCATAACAAGGAGATACATATCATGTTAAGACCATTATGTAAATTTAAAAGGGTTTGTAATACCTAATACTATTTTTGTTTTTGTGAAATGATATTCAGTACTCCTATATTACTGGTGGTACTGTAAATTTGTTTGGGTTTATTACTTTTGTAGTTGTGTTAAGGGCCTAAAAATGTTAATAGACCCTTTTCTAGTAGTTTATAAGAAATAATTTAAAATAAACATGAGAAATGTTTTTATTGTAGCTTTATCTTAACAGAAAACTTGGTATTTCTAAGGTGAAAGGGGTCAAGATTTTACACTGAGATACGTTTTGTAGTAAATGAAACTAGAAGTCCAGTAAGCTGTATAGGAAGGTTCTTGTAAACTTGATGGTTAAAACATGTACTTGGACTTCGCAAATAAATATAATTCTGAGGTTCCTCAGAATTGTATCTTGATGTAAATACATATTGTTTATGGAATTAGTATCCCCTTTTTTTGAAAAACTGTCTTTGTCCTCATTGGTCTAAATGGTTTAGCTGGAGGCACCTATCCCAGCTGGGGAATTATCCCCTTTCCATAGAAGTATAGATGTAGACTCACAGGTCCCAAGTTCAATCTGATTGGGTTTTTTTTTTTTGTACTCCAGACCTTGTACTTGCGAGTCAGGGGGCATAACCACTGGGCTAAATCCCCAGCCCTCAATCTGATTATTCTTACTGAGGCATAAATCCAGAAACCAAGAGAGACCCTAACCTGACAAGTATACCATGAACTAAACATAGTGCAAGAAAGATAGTAAAGAACAGATAAAACAACAATTAGTAACTTGTACCCCCAAAATAGAGGTGTAATGAAGTAAATTTGGTTCTTTCCACTAGATGGAATATTATGCAGCTATTAGAAGTTATAATTTTGAAAACTGTGAAATGCTTTTGATAGAAGAAATATTACATAGTATTGATGAAAGGAAACATCTCGTGGTGGAGAGAACATGGATTCTGGCACATCTGGGTTTGAATTTTAACCTTGATATTTTCTAATTGAGGGTCCTTTGCCTAGTTATTTTGTCTATCTGGGCCTCAGGGAAGTTATTTATCTAATACGTAATAGAATTAAGCTGAATATGTCAAAAGCCTAACATAATGGTTGGCCCGGGGCACAAAATTGTACATATTTATTAGTGTTTGGATGTAAATGAAGTGTATGTTATTGTTTGGACTGTACTGAAATGGGCCAAAAGAGAATATTAAAAATAAAACCAATAATGATTTCCCTTTTAGTTAAAAAATGCAATTAATAAATAGAACCCTCAATTTTTGTTGCAGTGTGATTCTTTTAGGATACATTATTGTACATTGTATTTCTAGATTTGAGAGATGAAATAATAGATGACCAGCCTCTTTTGTAAATTAGTATATAAATACTCTGCAGCTATAGATCATTTACATATTTCTTGTCCTTTTCTTTTTGTCTCATGATATTGGATATGCAGGATGAATGAATGCATGTACATGTGTAGCTGTATATTCTACAGAGTATCTCTAGTATTCACAAAATCGTCTTTGTTCCCCAGCCTAACTTCTAAGCCATGAAAACTAAGAGATGCTGCCTGAGTACAATTTAGCTTATGCCTCCTCCAAAGAGCACATTAAATTGCAAGTTTAAGGCAATCAGATATCTTTAAGTTAAAGGAGTGAAGAAAAGAAAGAGCAGAGAGAGAGCATTTTGTATACAGTACTTTGCCTTTTGACACATTATAATCTAGTTAACAAACACTTTGTAGGCTACCCACTAAGTCATAAAAGTTTTGTTATATGGAATTCTTTGACTTTTTAAATGTTTTTTAAAAATATTTCAGGAGCCACTGGAAGTGGGGAAATGGTCTGTACAATATGTCAAGAAGAGTATTCAGAAGCTCCTAATGAAATGGTTATATGTGATAAGTGTGGCCAAGGTAAACACTGACTTTTTTTTTTTTTTTTAATCTTGTGGAAAAGTTTTGTTATTTATTGAATGCCCTTGTTGAAGATTAATGACTAAAAGTAATTTACATTGGTACTTTGAAACTTTTATCCTTAGTTTTTTCATCAGTTGTAATACCTTCTTGAAATTGTGTTTCTCAGTATTTATTAATAAAATGGAATTTGCTTTATGCTTTTTTTGATATTAAGGGTATCATCAATTGTGTCATACACCTCACATTGATTCCAGTGTGATTGATTCAGATGAAAAATGGCTCTGTCGACAGTGTGTTTTTGCAACAACAACAAAGGTATCTTTTAAGTGTTTTAGGCTAAAACCCTAAGTGAAATTCGAAAGGCGTTGTCAGTTTAATGTTTGTGCACATTAAAAGTTTATTTGAATGAAGTAAGCACTCTGTTCTGGTTAGAAAGAGTTTCTATTTACTGTTTGAGTAATGATACTTAAGTGACTTACTCTCACACTTAAGATAGTGGCATGGGAATTGGAGCAGTAGTATGTAAGAAGACAACAAAATAGAGATTATTAGATAATTTTTGATGTGATAGAAATTTAGAGTGGGAAATTTTTCAGAAGTGTCAAGACATGTTTAACTTGTAGGATTGTATTTAAAATTTTATGGATCACCTTTTAAATAATTTTTCCCTCTAATATGTAGAGGGGTGGTGCACTTAAGAAAGGACCAAATGCCAAAGCATTGCAAGTCATGAAGCAGACATTACCCTATAGCGTGGCAGACCTTGAATGGGACGCAGGTCATAAAACCAATGTTCAGCAGTGTTACTGCTATTGTGGAGGCCCTGGAGAGTAAGTACATACGATATTTTAATGCCATTTAAGTAATTTTCGTTTGTTTTTCCTATTGGTTGTTTTGTTTTAGGAGTGATACATAAAAGTTACATATACGTAAAAGTAGTAGTAAAGAATAGTAGGATAGAAGATATAAATTTTCACATATAAAAATGTTTAGGTTTTGCTCACATCTCTTTGTTGAGAAAATTTATAAGATTGTTTATCCTGGAAATTTAAAATTAACTGTAAATATTTGTGTACCTTATAAATTATATAAATGGGGAATATTTACTGAAGATACTTCATTGCATGTCTTTTTTTGCATGTCATTTTTAATGTGATTGACCATTCAGAAATTGGAACATTAACTATTACTATTTGAATGAAAGAGTAATAGATTTTTGTTAAACTACAGAATCAAGGTAGGGATTTTTCATAGACTGCTTAGAGAGTAAACTGTTCTCCCCTACATATTCATTCTATTTCTTGTGAATCTATACAGATGTTTTCAGAAGAAACTATTGAATAGCTTTGCTAAGTTTTTAAGTGAAAAACATCCCATCCAGATACTAGAGATCTGTAATGGGAATCATATCTCTAAATGAAACTTGATAACCACAAAACTTATAACCAAGGTATATAAACTTTAATCAGGATGTTTGAAATGTGTTGTGTACAGGTGCGAGTATTTGTGTGCATGTTGCCTGTGTTTTTTTTTTTAACTAATGTTCCTAGATGCTTTAATATTCACCACACAATTGTCATTATTACCTACCTAGTAAAATTATTAAAGAAAATAATTTAAGTTAATCATTCTGGTAAATCATATGCATAATTAAAGGTCTGTCATTTTAGTCATTTTTGTTATTAAAAGTTTGCTAAATCAACAAGCCAGAGTTCTTATTAAGAATATGTAGAAATTTAATTCTAACTTCTGATCACTAGTTGTAGTTCTGCGTTTGAAACTGAAACACATTTATTCATACATCATAGGTAGCAACTCAAAATATTTCAAGTCAGCAATTTTATTTCCTATTTCTGTGACCCATGTAGCAGTAATGCTCCTTTTTTACAGAATAAAATCTGCATCACCAGTGAACATCCTTATAACATGATTTCCCTGTTTTTGTTACTTTCTAATGAAATATGGTATCATGATTGGAAAAATGTTGTGTTTCTAGAAATACTAACAATTTAAATTTCTAACAGAATATAAGAACCTAAGGATCTAGTAGAGTACAGTACTAGGCATTATGCTTCTAATGCTGTCAAAAGAAACATATTTCTTGTTTAGCTTGTCATATTCTTTGGGCTTATGTTGGGTTTGTAGGTTGCCAACTAATAACTAGTCCTTTGGGGTATTTTAGCGTATATTTTTAATTAGTACATGTTTCTGTAGTACATAATGATTTGATTTCCTGTGGGGAGTAGCTATATGTATATAATATATCTTAATTCTTTTTTTATCTCCTTCCCCTTTGTATCCATCTATTGGTCCCCTTCCCATTTGCAAAAGATCTATCTTCCCCTTTCGTATTATTTACATTTTGTTCTTTATTTACATTGGGGGGGTTCTAATAAGCTGATACTTAGCCAATTTGTGCCTTATATACGTGTACATTTTTTTAACACCCCCCCCCTGGTATCGGGTATCGAACTCGGGACCTTGTGCTTGTGAGGCAGGCAGTGGCACCATTGAGCTAAATCCCCAGCCCACATTTAACCTATTTAAATTATTGGTTTCTTGGGTCTTTCTTCCGTATCAGGCACTGTACTTAAGGCTGCTCTATAGGAGAATACAGGAACATACATACATTGTTTGATGGTGAAAGGCATATATAAATGAATGAATTTTTAATTCATCATACTATCCTCTGATCTCTTGGAATAAGCCTTTGGTAACTTGCAAATTTAAAAATATTTTAGTTTTTAAAAATCACTTATTCATAAAGAGAAAAATAGTTTTTAAAAGAGTGGAGGGGTAGGGAAAAAGAATTGAGGTGTATTATGCACGTGTACAAATTCCTCACAACATAATCATTATATACTGCAAACATACTAATTAAAAGAAAAGGATACATCCTATTACAGAATTTTTAAAAAAAGAGCTACCATGAACAGGCTTAGAAATTAATCTTTCTTTTCTCATTTAATTCCAGTATTTTTTTAAAGCACTCAAAAATAGGTAAACATTATTACAGACATTTTATGAGGCAGATCTTTCATTTTTTTCTACTTTTCTTCTCCCCTGAGTTTAGGTATCAAACTCTGGGCCTTGCATTTATGAGGCAGGCAGGGTACTGCAGAGCCTAGATGTGTCATTTTTTTAAAAACTGCAAGGATAGGAATTGATACTGTCAACATTATAGGTTCAGGGCCAGGGATTTAGCTTAGTGGTTCCGCCTCCTCAAAAAGCACAAGGTCCCAAATTCGATCTCTGGTACAAAAACAAAACAAAAAAAAAACCAAAAATATTATAGCTTCAGCATATAGTAGAATACTTGGAAATCATATTCAAGGTTACTTGATAAATGAATGACCTGACTTAATAGAGTGCTTTTTGATTATGTGGAAATAGCCTGAAATAATAAATATGAATAAAATCATATTGTTAAAAAATACAGGGATTTTTGCCTTTGCCTATATATGCTTGTAATTAAGAATTTTGGCAGCAAAGATAATATTTGAAAATAATGTCTTTTATTTTCAGGTAAGGAAAAGATAATCATGTCAAACCATATACTAATTGAAAAGAGAGGATGTCCTTCATCGATGCAGGCTTAGTTTCAGCAGCCTCAGCTGTCTGAAAAAGATCTGTATACCTGTATAGTGCAACAGTTAAACCTGTAACAAAGCGAGATTTTTATACTTGATAGTCTTAGATTAGATTTCTAAGTATATTAACCAAGTTTATAAATTACACCACTTTTATAATAGACTAGACTGATAGCAACACAGTAAAGATAAAATTAAATGTTCATAATCTGCTTGTTTGTTTGTTTGTTTGTTTGTTTTTTGAGACAGGGTCTCACTATGTAGTTGAGACTGACCTGGAACTCACTGTGTAGCCCAGGCTGGTCTTGAACTCACAGCAATCCTCCTACCTCAACCTCCCGAGTGCTGGGATTACAGACATGCGCCACCATGCCACCACCATGCCCGGCTAAACGTTCATAATCTGAAAGCTGCCTGAGGCTATGTGGTATTTGGAACAAACAGTTTAATCTCTTGAGTTTTACCTCTCCTAGGGTATAGAAAATTGACTTGAAGCTGGGCCTGGTGGCACATGCCTGTAATCCAACACTTGGGAGGCTGAGTCAGGAGGATCGCTGTGAGTTTGAGACCAGCCTGGGCTACATAGTGAGTTCCAGGTCAGTCTCAACTACATAGTGAGACCCTGTCTCAAAAAAACAATAAAAAAGAAATTGACCTGAAAAAAAACAAAAAACCAAAAACTAGGCTTAGAGCAGGGTGTGGTAAGTGGGTACTTTAGCCCCAGCTACTCAGGAGGCTCAGATATAGATAGATAGTTTTAGCCCAGGAGCTCAATGGCAGCCTGGGAAACACAGTGAGATTCCATCTCAAAAGGTAGGTAAAGAAAGCTGGGTATGGGGAATGACTCCGTGGTGGAGTATGTGCTTAGCATATATAGGGTCCTTGATTTGATCTCTAGCACTACTCAGGGGAAAAATTAAATTGTAGTGTTGTGCTCTGAGAGAAAGCCTTTACTAGTATAGGAGCCAGCAGTTGTTGACTAGAACTAGATGTATATTTCAAGAGCTTATAAATCCTCTTGAATAAGAAAACATATGAAGTGGCCAATATTGGAAACCTTTTTTGGGAAAATAATACAAAGTATTGTAGAAATGTAATACTTCAATCAGAATTATTCTGGATAATGCCACTTTGTTTAAAAAAACTTTTAAAATCATCAAGAGTAGTATTTTAATCTTAACTTTTTTCTTATAGCTGGTATTTAAAGATGCTACAGTGCTGCAAATGTAAGCAGTGGTTTCATGAAGCTTGTGTGCAATGCCTTCAAAAGCCAATGCTATTTGGAGATAGGTAAGAAAGCATTTGAATTTATTTTTGTGGCTTTTAAATTGTGATCATTTTGTGGTTTTAGATTTCTCAAAATAGTTTTAGCAGTTATTTCTAAAGAGGTCATTTTAGATGGAAAATATTGAATGGTATATTTAAAATACACATAATTTTTGTGCTTTTCGTATTATCCAGAAAGCTTCCCTCCTTGCTCCCCAGAACTGTTCAGCACTGTCAGTAATAACAATTAATTCTATTTCCCCACGGTGGTCTAAACTATTCTCATTGGCACTTCCCTTTAAAGAACTTCAAAAGGATCATACAGGGAGTGACCAGCAAATATAGTAAATGCTGTTTTTTAAGAACAATTATTTTATTTTATTATTTATTTTTGGTACCGGGGTTCAAACCCGGGTCTTTGTGCTTGCGAGGCAGCCCCTTAAAACCAATTATTACAGGAAACGACCCATTGCTATTTTTTCCTCTAAAATACTGACTCTTGGGCTGGTGATTTAGCTGAGAGGTTCCACCACCTTCCTTGCAAGCACAAAGTCCTGAGTTTGATCCCTGGTACCAAAAAATAAATAAAAAAATCCTCTTCTTGATTTGAACACATATTCCATCTTTCTGGCGACCTTCCGAAGCAGTTTTTTAAGTCCTCTAGAAATGTATTTACAATGTGATAAGACATGGTGAATGCTGCTGTCAGTGCTGTACAGTGCAAAAATAAGCTTGGAAAAACATTACAGTGTATCTTCATTTACCTTATTCACTGGATATGGCACTGTGTGACTTCTGGCACTTCAGCAAAGTCAAAATGACCATAAAAGGCAAACAGTTTGAATTGATTTAGAGCATGAAAGTAGCCATGACATTGCTACTAATGACACTAGTTACTTTCTTGTTGCTGGGACAAAATACTAGACATCCACAAGTTAAAGGAGGAAAGGTTTAACTCACAGTTGTAGAGGTTCTAGTCTGTAGTTGGCTGGCTGAAAGGCAGGTCATGGCAGAGGAGAAGCCATTCATATCATGGCACACAGGAAGCAGAAGGTCTTTCTTCTGCTTTCCTTTTTTATTCCTTCCAGGCCACAAGCCTATTGGATGGTTCCACATACACCCAGTTTAGGCTTTCTTTCTTCAACAAGTCTTATCACCCACACCCAGAACTATGCTAAACTAATCAGTGGGCTGATCTAGTATTACATATCTAAGATCCACTCACACCACAAAAGCCCCACCCATGAGGACATCAGGCTTTGGAGGGACATGGGCTGGGGATTTAGCTCAATGCTTCTGCCGCTTGGCCTGCCTTGCAAGCACAAGGACCTGAGTTCGATCACTGGTACCAAAAAAAAAAAAGATAAAAGATATAAGCCATAACTCTCATAGAAAAGGACTTTCAGAATGGTTTCATAAAGTGACAAGAATGATGGGATAAGTGTGTTCGAAGAAAGGGAAAATGTTTTGAGGGAGACTAATAATGGCTGTGTGTTTCTTATTGTAATAAACTTTAAAAATTTAAACACTATAATTATAGATTATACTTTTGACAATTAGAAAAGGCCACAAGATCTTTTTACAGAGCTTAGATATAAAGTATTTCTAGCCAGGTGTGGTGGTACATGCTACTTAGGCCAACCTGGGCAATTTTGTGAGACCCTACATCAAAATAAAATAAAAAGAGGGATGGGGATTTAGCACTGTGGTTCCTTGCCTGCCTGGCAATCACAAGGTTCTGAGTTCAATTCCTGGTACAAAATAATAATAATAATGATAATAATAATAGGGCTGGGAATACGACTTAGTGGTAGAGTGCTTGCCTGTCACATATAAGACCTTGGGTTTAATCCCTAGTACTGGGGGGGAAAACATTCTAAAATCAGTTATGTTCTCCATTAGGATTATTAACAGTGAACTCTAGAAAAGAAAACTTAGAGCATACATTTGGCCTTAAAAAACCTGGGTTTAAATCTTAAGTATTACTATCTTTTTAAGAGGGTTACTTTTTTACTTTTGGTACCGGGGATCGAACTCGGGTCCTTGCACTTGCAAGGCAAGTGGTGGAACCACTGAGCTAAATCCCAGGCCTACCTTTTTACTTTTGGACTTATCTTACCAGGTTCTTTTGAGTATTGAATGAAACAATATATCTGAGAATCATAATTTTTGCGCATATGAAACATTAGTAAATTATGGGTACATAAGAACTGCAAAGGTCTCTTAATGGTTAAATAGTGTCCTTTCCCCCTAGATGTGAGCTATTTCGTTATTTTTTGTTGTTGGAAAAGACATTCCTTATATTGCATATAGTGTCATAACAATTTTTTACTTTGAGTATCAGTCCTTACATTGACTGTAGGACGACCTTCATTTGCTGAGTATTCACTGTAATTGTTAAATAATTTTTGTATGTGCTTGATTACCCAGTATAAAACTTTTCCTTTTTTTCCTCAGATTTTATACATTTATTTGCTCTGTCTGCAGTTCTGGACCAGAATACCTCAAACGTCTACCATTACAGTGGTAAGCAAGCATGGAAATTTCTGTTAAGGGAAAAATTAGCCGTATTTTTAAACCTGTGAGATGAAAGTTCTATACACATACAACTTGATTGTTCTTTAAGCCTAGCTTTATTCCTTTTATTTATCCTCAAGTCTATGCCACTGTCAATGATTATCCACTCTTATTGCTAAATCTGTAAGCTATTCATTATTGAATGGGATAAATGTAGTTTCCAGACATCTTTTAGATCTTAAATTCTTGTTTGTGTTTCTAGTGCTTTTGTTCCTTCAGAATATCATTCAATAGAAAGGACATAGATTAAACATGACAGTTTCCATTTCAGTGTAGTTAATTCTTATGTGTGGGAATTGTGATACCTTAACTAATGATAGTGGGAGACTTATAAAATATAGCATTTATGAAATTTTGTTTTGTTTCACATTTTAGGGTCAGATAAGTTTTAATTCATGAATCAGATAAAGCTTGGAAAAGTATGGTTTGTTCTGTGGTGTATATGTAGTTGTAAAAACACAATCCTGATTTTATATTATTTTCTCTTGACGTATCAGATCCTCTTGAATGTATTTTAAATTTACAGTTACTGTCCAGATTAAGTAAATGTTTAACGTTTCCTGTTTTTTCTATATGTAATGGTATGTTATATTGTAAACATGACTTAGATATTGACCCTCTAGCCATCTTAGCATTTCATTCTAGACTTTTTGTTGATTTTATGAAGAAAGTGTGTGATTTCTTAAGAATAGCCAAACACATTGTTTTCATGTATTTCGATTATTTTTGAATTTCAGGGTAGATATAGCACACCTTTGCCTTTACAACCTAAGTGTTATTCACAAGAAGAAATATTTTGATTCTGAACTTGAGCTAATGACATATATTAATGAAAACTGGGATAGATTGCACCCTGGAGAGGTAGGTATTTAGTGCTAAACCTCATTAGCTACTCAATAGCTTTTTAATTTTGATTTTGTAAAACAACAACTAAGTTACAGATGTAAGTCACACAACTAAAATAGAATTTTATTTTTCAGTTCTTGGGAGAAATAACTTTGATAATTATATCAGGACCAGCTCTCTCATCCTCCTGTATTTGTTGCCTGTTGACTCTGGAAAATGTAGATGGAGGAAGTAAAATGATATATTCTTCCATTTTCTGAACTGAGAGTCATTGGAATTAAAAGATAGAAGAGTGGGAGAAATTATTTGTATTAGATGTCTTGTGATTTGACCTCCTTCTAAGTTTTCTTTAAACTTAGAGCTATAAACATTCTTTGCCTGTTTATTGATGCTCGCTTAACAATCTTTGACTCTCAGGAATGGTGGAATCCAATAATCAGATTAGAATAATGAGTTACAGAGTGAAGCTAGCTGAGTTAGAGATTACCTTTTTATTCTAACATTTCATTTTGCTTCTTTGTGAAGTATAACCACTTATGCTTGTTTTTCAAAGGATCTTTTTAAATAAATAAAAATAATACACATTCATTTGAAAAGATTTTGAATCGAAACAGAAAGAGGAAAGAAACTCAGTATAGACTTTTTTTAGCATTTATTTAGAATTATTAAAATGTAGATGATTACTCTTATGTGCATATTTTAAAATGTGTTTGATACCTTATTTTATGTTTGCATTTTAGTTATGCATTATTTTTTGATGAAACGATTGTGCAAACTGATTTGATATTTCAGAAGAATTTTTGCATTTGTAGCTTTTTATAGGCATTTATGAAATTTATATTAAGTAGGAAATCAAGGATTGGGGATGTAGTTCAGTGGTAGTCCATTTGCCTGCAATGCAAGATCTTGGATTCAATCTCCAGCACCACAAAAACAAACCAAATAGTCAATAAATAGTGTATCAAGGATATTTGGGGATTTTTTTTAAGTTGTAATTATGGGAATCAGTGAGACTGTCAGGCACATTTATTTAGTTGGTAGATCATTTGCATAAAATAACTTGACAAGATGCAGTGCTCAAGTATTAAAGTCTAGGGTATTTTGAAATTTAATTGACAGATGTTTTGAGTATTAGATATTGAACTACAATTCTAATTCTGTTCTGTTTTTATTAAATGTTTCTTTTAAATGAAGTTGGAAAGAAAGTAGGTAACTTTAAGAATGATGCATTTTAGTAAGAAACAATGGAGTAAGGTTCTAGTATATAGTGTTATGGTTATCTTAATACTTAATGCTCTCTTGCATTTGTTTTAAAATTAATAGCTATATTCTTCCAGTACCTCATATGCAGATACATTTGATACCTGTTAATACATTTTGTTTCATGTCATAAAATTCTGCAGTAGCTACTTGATATAGATAGTGGGTACAGATAATAAAAACAAATGGTATTTATTTTAAATACTATCATCTTATTAAAATTTAAGCATTAATGTTTACTTTTTAAGTAAAAGTATGAGAAAGCAAAATTTATAATTAATGTTTTTAAAACCTTTGTTTTATGAATATCAAGTTATCTTTTACTGAATTTCTTTTTAGTACCAGGGATCAAACTTGAATCTTTGCACTTGCAAGGCAGGTGGTGGAACCACTGAGCTAAATCCCCGGCCCAATTTTTGATACATCATAGTAGAAAAAATTCACTTCAGCAAATACATGTTTTCATTATTTGTCATTTGTAAGAGGATGTCTTAGAAATAAGAAAAAATGGTGTTTGGGATGCAGATTAGTTGTAGAGCACTTACCTAGCATGCATGGAATCCTAGATTCCATCCCTAGCACTGAAAAAGCAAAGCAAACATAAAAGAAAAAATTGGAAAAAGTGAATTTTACTTTATACAAGTGTTTACATTTAGAGATTTATAGTCAGTTCTCATTTCTCTTTCTCTGCATTAAAATAAAAGAATTCAAGTTGTTGGATTAGTTATCTCTGCAGACTAGATACCAACAGATTGAGTTCAGGTTTTTAGTTCTGTTGCTAATCTTTTTACATCTTTATATGGTAATTATACCTAGATATTAGGATAAGACTTAAAGATACAAAATTTATGCCAGTCTTCTGTAGTGTGTATTTAGTGTTTTTCATTTAGTTTACTTTTAAATATGAAACAAAAAAAAAATATTGGTCATCCCTGATGATTTGAATAGTAAACCTTTGGTTAACAAGAATTGACTTGCAAATTGAACTTTGTTTCTCTGCTCAGGTTAAAAAAGCGTTTGTTTTATTTTTTCTGTAATATGCCATTAATCACTTTCAATGTGTAGGAAATAGTGCATGACAAATATATTAATATAACACATACACTCATATATACAGGCATTCCTCATTTAACGACTGGGTTAGGTTCCTGCAACTAGGTCATTAAAAGAATGGGTTGCTAAATAAGGAATTGTATATAGTATGTACATTACATTTTTCAGAAGAAATGGTGAAAGGAAACTCCAACTTCATGACTTTGCTTTTATTTGCATAACTTTCATGCAGTGTTGTAATGCATAACAACATAAAACTACAGTACTGACCTACATAATGTAGTCAGCAAAAATTACAGTACTGTATAAACAAGGTATACTGTAACCCCCCCCATTGAGGCTCTATAAACATGATGTACAGAATTATACCATAAAAAGGATGAGCCATAAGTCTGAAAAGTTGTATTATGTATGTATGTATACACACACACTTGTATATATTTGTTTTGGTTTGGATTTTTGAGACAGGGTCTTGCTGTATGTAATTCAGGCTGGCCTGGAACTTGAAACTATCCTAGTTCAGCCTCCCAAGTATGTGCTGGGATTACAAGTATGTTCCATGACATCTGGCTTTATGTCTTATCATTGACTACTTTGAAGTTATTTGGAACATCAATTCTTACTGTATATAACAAGGATTATGTTGTATAAGCATTTGATCTAGAAATTTCAAATGTGAAATTAAACTTAACAGTAGTTAATAGTTTTGCTTTCTCTCAAATATGGAGTTTTATTCCTTCTTGCTTAGGTGGAAAGAAAATGTGATAATGTAAGAAATTGAGCCAGGCCAGGTGTGGTGGCGCATACCTGTAATCCCAGCACTTGGGAGGCTGAAGCAGGAGGATCAATGTGAGTTTGAGACCAGCCTGGGCTACAAAGTGAGATCCAGGTCAGTCTCAACTACATAGTGAGACCCTGTCTCCAAAAAAAAAAGAAAGAAAGTAAAAAGAAATTGAGCCAGATATGGTGGTACATGCTAGAGGCTGAGGTAAGAGGATCCACCATGAGTTCAAGGCCAGCCTGGAGTTTATAGTAAGACCCTGTCTCAAAAACAAAACAAAATTTTTTTAAAAAAGATAACTTTTTAAGAGCAAATTAAGGTTCATAGCAAAATTGAGAGGAAGGTACAGAGATAGCTCACTTATCTTCTTCCCATACATACAGTATATTACTTCCACCATTGTCAACATCCCCCACCAATATAATGCATTAGTTATGATTGATGAACCTACATGGATTCCTGCTGAAAGATAAATTTAACTTTCATATGTATCTTTTTTCTTAGTTGACTTTATAGGCTTGCTGGGAAGAGGAACTAAAACTTTTAAACCATGTTAGAAGACAATGATAGTTTTATATCATGTTTCCTTATGTGGTTGATTCCTTATGTACATTTGTATTTGTACTTTGTGTCTTAATGATTACCATATATAATGAGTGTAGTTATTTGAGGAACTACTATGTTTTCAAATAGCTTCTTTGACATAATAAAAATACTTAATGTAACATTTGAGACTACAATAAACATATCTTAAAGTTTTTTTATTAAAATGAGTCACTTCTATCAGATTGCTTTGGGGACTTTAACATAAAATAGTAATAATTTTTGGATTCTGTTTTCAATTCTTTGATTCTTAATGTGATTTGACATCATAGTTCTATAATAGCCCCACTTTCTGTTGACTGTGATCTTAAAATTTAAAAACCCTAAGGTTGATAGCAGAATAATAGATTGCTACCTTACTTTTGATGGGGATAGGGAGAAACACATAGGTGAAATTCAGTAACATACCATGGTGGGAATATTTTGGCTAGGGGAAAAAAAATATCCTAGAGATGGTATACTTTTACATGAAAATAAGAAATCTGATTAACAGCAATATTTGGGACCTTGAGTTTTACACATTAGCATGTGACATGTGGGTTGGCAAAGAAATTGTTGGCTTACCTATGCCTAGGTGGCATCAAACTCAATATTGATAATTAAATGGTTTATTTTATTGAGAGTTATACTTTAAATATTAATACTTATGTCTATATAAAAATACATACACTTAAAAATAATGATACAGACAGCCTGATGAGGGATGCATGCCATCAGTTTGTCAACACAGGCCTAGAATACAATGTTCTTCTAGCATAGTTGATCTGATTTAAACTATTAAAGCTGCATGTTTAGATTGCAAAATTGAGCAAGGTAACTTCTGACATTTTTACATGAGTTTAAATATATAGTCCTTTCAAAAATAGTCATGTTGGAACATACTGATAAAAATTCTGATAAACCTTAGGGAATAAGCACTGAAAGAAATCATTGTGGTTTTCAAAACGTAAAAGGGAGTGGGTTTTAGAAAGTAGGGAGTCAGTTTTTTGCTGAGTCCAAACAAAATTGTAGAGACTTTTAAGATCTTTGATTTGTGGAGCTAAAAAGCAAAGGGGAAAAAAAAACTCATTATAAATCATGTTAAGTACCTGGTTTCTTTTTCACATGGTTAGCTGTGCTAGTTTGTCCAATGCTGTGGCCATCATAGGCATAGTATAACTTGGTTTTATATAAGGTACTGAAATGTGAACTTACTGTGAAAATTTGTTTCGTTTGTATGGAGTCTTTTTTTTTTTGTTGGTATTGGAGCAAACTTGGGTCCTTGCACTTGTGAGGCAGGCAGTGGCACCATTGAGTTAAAGCCCTAGCCTGTATTGGAGTCATTCTTAAGGGATACTGTAATGAAGGGTCACAAGGGTCTGTGTTTGTCTCTATCCTCAATTCGCAAAGGATGCCAATCAAAAAGATAATGTGTAAACTATTGGAGCTGAAAATAAAATCAAATTGGTAACATTCACAAAGTTCTTTTAGGCATAAACACAAACAGTACAGGTGTGTGCTAGAGTATATTTGATTTGATAGCATTTCATCTAGTAAGTATTCAGACTTGGGGAATAAGAAGAGGGAAGAAAGAAGATCAAACAACTAGCCCAAAGTTTAGTATGAAACAATCATGATTTCATTGCTAAAATCTAACCTAATCTCAAACTTAAACATGATAGCTGCTTTTAAATATTTGAAGAGCTGTTTTACAAAATAGGGCATAGAAGGGTTCAAGGAAAGTTTAGTCTACCTATAAGAATGGGTTTCTTCAAGTACGTTGTACCAAATAGATATAGGGAATAACTTGCTGTCTTTTAAAAGGGATTGTGGTCTTAGTGGAAGGTTGAATTAGATTTAGGGTTTGGTTTTTTTTTTGTTTTTGTTTTTTTCTTGCTTTAAAGTCTGATTTTGTCATTTTTTTTAATAGAAATTCTCAGGCTGAGGGTAATGGTAGAGAGAGCATGTGCTTAGCATCTGTGAGGCCCTGGGTTCAATCCTCAGCACCAAAAAAGAAGGAACATTCTCTATCATGGGATACCTCAGAAATTTCAGTGGGAGAAAGTGGTACAGCATAACACCTAAGGGCTATATTTGTCCTTCTGTCTGTCCATTCATCTATCTGTCCATCCTGTCTATGTATCGCATTGGACACATTGGCACAGAGGGGGCTTTTGTTGAATGTTGACAGAATGGAATTAACTTGTCACCTGGGTTCAGGTTCTAGTTGCTTTCTCAAGTAAACGGGAATTTGATTAGTTTATTTAAGCTTCATGTTTGTTGACTCACCTCTAAAATAGAGTGGAATAGGTGACTAAATTTTAAGCCTCTTTTTGTTTTCAGTATTCTTTTTGGAAGATGTTTTGCTCTTTTCCTTAAAACAGTTCTGAGCTGGAAGTTTATAAATTGGTAAACAATATACTGGATATAATTATAAGAGCCAACTGTGATATTTTGGAACTTTTTTTTTTTTTTACTTTTTTAAGTCTTTATGGCTTTAATTCATGGTGATTCTTTTATAATTTAGAACTTTTTGATAATGGGTTCCAGTGTTTAAACTTTGAAGAGTGACGTGGGAGTGAGTGTATGCCTATAATCCCAGCCCTGAAGAGGCTGAGACAAGAGGATTGCAGTGAGTTTGAGGCCAGCCTGAATTACATAGTGAGACTGTCTCCAAAAAAGGGGAACACACACACACACACACACACACACACACACACACACACACACACAACTTTAAGAAGTAGAAAGATCTTTGGGGAAAGCCCAATTGTAACAAAATAGAATATTTTATAGAATTCAATAATGCAGATTTTATAAATTCTGATGACAAAAATGCTAAAGTCTACTACAGTTGTGTTTGTTGTGTTTGTTTTGTGGTACCAGGGATTGAGCTCATGACCTTGAGCTTGCCAGGCAGGTGCAATACCACTGAGCTACATTTCCAGTCCAAATCTACAGTTGTTTTGAAAATACTTTTTCCCCTCATTTTATAGTATATTTTTACATTATGGGTAATTGTTTATGGTAACAGTAAAGGCACTGGGGAATAAAATGTTTTTCATTACCTTTTATACCTTTTCCTATAGATATGTATTAGGAGCTTTCATGGTAAATGTTAAAATAATTGTAATATATTATTTCCCTAGATTATAGGATTTTTAAAGATTAAATCGCTAATACTGAAATTATTTTTGTAGTGTTTACCACTTGTATTTCTTTTACAAATATATTATTTTCTATATAATGAATATAAAATAATTAGTGCAGGATTTATAATCTTTGTAATTGAGAAAATAAGCTTTGAGAAGTTAAATGTTCCTATATTGGTCACATAGCTGGCGGCTAATCAGTGAGGGCCTAGACTTGGATCTTAGGCTTCTGACTATCAGTATATACTTTTCCTCTGCATCACATTGCCTCTGTATATCACTTGTATATTATGAATTGATGAAATTGTAGTGCATTAAATTGTTTCTTGATACTTCACAGCTGGCAGACACACCAAAATCTGAAAGATATGAGCATGTTCTGGAGGCATTAAATGATTACAAGACCATGTAAGTTGATTTATTTTATGTATCCCCATGAGGGAGACAGTAAGAACAAATAATGGCATTAAGAATTGTGGGATTCAAGTACATACCATTAAAAATTTTTTTAAATGTCCTTTTCTTATTTGGTCAGTAAAGCCGGGGATTCTTAAGGACTGGAGAAGGGAAGAGTAATCATTCTGGGAATGGTGGGTAGGAGGCATCTCACTCTTCAAAGAGACTTTGGTCTGTTCTATTGAAAAAGCATAGTCAGTAATAATTTATTTTGGTAATGCATTCTTCTGAAAGTAAGTTAATCTTGTTAATATTATAATGAATAGAGGTGTCTTGAAAGTTTGAGATTTGTGGTTTTAAGATTAGTTTTTGCCATCATTTAATTGTAGAAATAGTATTACTGGTCTGAGTGGTCTAAGATAATTAAATGATATTATTTGACATTCTTACAGATATCCCTCCTTTTTAAAAAAAAATTAGTGTATCTAAATTACTTGACAATATCTTCAAAATGCCATAGATATTTTATAAATGTGTATGCTGACTCCAACTAATTATATTTTATAATGTATTTTTATAAAATTTAAAAATTTTTGTTTCTCAGAAGTTGCTACTTCCTCATTAAATTATGTTTTAATTACTAGTCACTAGATCTTTAGATTGAATCAAAAAGCATAATAAGGTATCTGAGTAATTACTGTACTGGTAAAAAGTATTTTATGAGACAGTGAATTTTTGAATTGCAAATTAGGATGTCAGAAATCTATCTACTCCTATTTCAGTAGAAAGAGGAGTTCCCTGTTCTTAGACTTGCATAAAAGTTGAAAAGCATTCCAAACATTTGATAGAGTTTGTTGTAACCAGTGAGGCTGTATTTAGAGCTAAGATAGATGATGGTATTTTGAAATTAGGACTGTAACAATTAAGGAAAAAGGGGTAAAGAACATGTTTTTCAGACGCCCAAGTCTATACTCTTACTGAAATAATACTTCGCTAGGTTGTTTCCAATTCCACTTCTGGCACACTAGACACTTGTTTCATTTTCTGGGTTTCCTACTTTATTTTTCTCATTCTGTCATTTACTAGTTCTGACCAAATTTTCTCCTTTACAGGTCTACTTTGAAATAGAATGCTTTCCTTAAAACTTTTTTGAGATATTTCTTACATGACACTAAAATAGGAAAAATTTTGGAATTAGAAAGATTATTTTGTACCATTCTTCCTTGGTTTTAAGAATTTAGATGTCCCCCCACCTTTCTTTAGAGACAAAGTCTTACTATATTGTCCAACCTGGCTTCAAACTCCTGGGCTCAAGTGATCCTCCTGCTTTGGCCTTCTGAAATTTGGGACTACAGGTGCACACCACCACACTTGGCCTAGCTGCCATTTTTTTCTTCATGAAACTGATTGATTTCAAGGTTGCTGAGCTACATTCCTAGCTAACTTTTAAAAAAAATTTTTCATTTTAATTAATACATGTTTTCAGGACATAATGATTACATTTATTATGGGGAGTTGGTACCTGTATATATAACACGTCTTTTTATGTCCCCTTTTTCTTTTCTTTCTTTCTTTCTTTCTTTTTTTAAGACAAGATCTCACTATGTTGCCCAGGCAGTCAAACCTAGCTAATAGTAGTATTTTAAAAAGAAAAGTGGACATGTGCCTTTTTTTTACTTCCATCTCTCCCTCTATGATATTATACAGTGGGCCTGGCTCTAGGGCAGATAAGAATCAAGGAAAGCAAGGAGAATTAAGGGCTTTTATAGCATTACATTGGCTTCCATATGAAAGGGACTTATGAGTGAAAGTTAAATGAGTTAGGGTCTCCCATGTATATGTGTTGTGTATTTTAAATTTTAGTTAATTCTTTTAAAAATTTAGGTTTATGTCTGGGAAAGAAATAAAGAAGAAGAAGCATTTGTTTGGGTTGCGAATTCGTGTTCCTCCTGTGCCACCAAATGTGGCTTTCAAAGCAGAGAAAGAACCTGAAGGAACATCCCATGAATTTAAAATTAAAGGCAGAAAGGCATCCAAACCTATATCTGATCCAAGGTAAAAGTTGATCTGTGGCTTAGTTTTTCTCTTTAGCTTATTTGTAACTAAAAATGTATGTTGTTTAGTCTCATTAGTATATTTGAAAGTACAAGTGGCAGTTACCTTAATTTTTTTCCTTCCATAATTTCTTTTTAGATAAAGTATGAAAAGCATTGATTTAAACACTGACTTGATTATGTTTATTCATTTACTTTTCATTCATTCATTCCACACATTTATCAAAATCTTCATTATCTTAGAAGGGATACCATGACAAGACAGATTTTCTTCTGTCATGGGATTATAGTGGGGAAATTTACATTATAATGGGGAAGGTGGGTGGTAAATAAAATAATTATTGAATCAGTGCTGTTTAAGAAATAGCATTCAGGGGACTGGGGATTTAGCTCAGTTGTTCCGCTGCCTGCCTTGCAAGCACAAGGACCCGAGTTCAGTCACCAGTACCAAAAAAAAAAAAAAGGCATTCAGGGCTATGGATGTAGTTCAGTGGTGCTGCACCTGCCTGGCAAGCACAAGGTCCTGAGTTCAATTTCTGGTACTGAAAAAAAAAAGGAAAGAATGAGCCTGCTTTTTTATTTAAACTTGACTAGAATTATTAGAGATGAGAATTTTGTAGTTAAAAGAGAGACTTAAGGAAGGACTATTTAAGATAATATTTGAAACTTGAATGAAAATAATCTGTGACAAAGGGGAAGATATTCCAGGTAGCAGAAATAACATGCACAAAGGCTATAACACGTATTCTAGAAATTCAAAGAAAATAAGTATGATTTAAATGAGGACTAAAGAGTAGTACAAGATGTTAGAAAGTTTGGTGGGGCTTGATCATGTATAGGTCTTGTAGGGACTTTAGGTTGTTTTCCAAGAATGATGCCTGTGTTAGCAGGTTTAATTATCATAAATTTATTTGGATTCTCTTTCTAGAATGGGTAGTATAGAGTGAGAATAGAAGCCAAGAGAAAATAAAAATCTGCTGTTTCCTGAGTGAGAAATGTGCAGAGGTAGATGGTAACAGCAGAATGGAGAGAATATATTTGAGACATAGACAGTTGGATGTGAAAGTCAGCAACTCAGAAAAGGAGAGGTCAGAGAAGATGATATAAATTTGGACGCTGATTTATAAAACCATAAGGATGAATGAAATTATTTAGAGAATGAATAGAAAGAGAAGAGAATGTGGCTCAGAATAGTATCCTGATACCATTTATAAATTTGGAAGCCAGGAGTGGTGGCACGTGCCTGTAATCCAAGCACTCAGGAGGCTGAAGCAGGAGAATCACTACAAATTTGAAGTCAGCCTGAGCTACATGGTTAAAGGCCAGCCTGAACTACATAGTGAGACCTGGTTTCAAAAAGCAGGAGGGAACCCTAAATTTGGAAGAGGTGAAATAAAGGAGATAGGAGGAAGCCACAGTAGTGTCATGAATACATACTATTGAGGGAGTATTTTAAGAAAGATGGTCATACTGAACTGTTCAAGGATGCAGGTGACGGGGGTTAAGATGAGAGACAAGTGTTTATTAGTAACTGATTAAAAACAGTATTTTGGATTAAAGATAAATGCCAGATTGAGGTAGATTGAAATGTTACTGAATCAGGCACATAGCAATTACATGTTAAAACTACTTCTACATATTGAGGGAGACATTCAAAATAATAATAACAGTGATAGAGGGGGAAAACCTGTCTTTTAAGAATATTTGAAAGACATTAGAGAAAGTGGAAAGGATGAATTCATCCAAGCTCGTTTTACTATGAAAGGAAGCACACAGATAGAATGGCAGCTAAAGAGGAGAATGAAAGCTTTTAACTAGGCTTTTTAAATAGGTGGGAAATATTTGTGTGCCAGTAGAAATAATCCAGTAGAAATGATGACATTGGCATAGGAGAGAGCAAAACTAACCGAAGATATCGCAATGTCTTTGAGAAATCAAAAGGAAAGGGATTTAGAGCAATGATAGTAAACCTTTTAGAGCTTTAAATGATACAGACAGCCCACTGGGGCACACGTGCCATAGGTTCACCACTGATCTAGAGCTTTAATGTGAGAATAGCTTTTGTTAGAAGTACTTTTCTGTTGAAATGAGGAAAAACGATGAAAGATGCTGGTTGTATTGTAGTTTGGAAAGTAGGAAGATGTCTAAAAGTTGTCTGGTAGTTTCTCATTTCTCTGTGGACTATGAGGTAAAAGCTGAAATGGCTGTATAATGAGGGGGGATATAAAGAGTAAAAGGGACTAGTCATCTTGGAGAGTAGAAAAATGTAATGACAAAGCATTGACAGATCACAGCTATTTAAAATTTGTGATAAACTGGGTACTACTACTTTAAAGCTTTTTTTCTTGAAAGAGAATGCTTATTCCTATCTCTTTAAAATTCTATCATTTTAATCTTTTGTTAGTAGTTGATGAGTTAGCGGGGAAAAAGAACCAGATATGTGGCGCATGCCTATAATTCCAGTATTTGGGAAGCTGAGACAGGAGGGTTGCTGTGAGTTTGAGGCCAGCCTGAACAGGACTGTCTCAGAAAACCATACTCCTCCAAAAAATATTTCACAGAACTTTTCTCATTGTTACAATTTTTTGGATACGATGCTTCATCTTTGGCAGCTGTCAGATCATCTGATGTCGCCTGATAAGAATTCAACTTTTTAAAAAGCCAGTCTCAGTTCTTAAGCCCTACATGTGGGTTGGTTTCAGTCTGAGAATATTTTTTCTAGTATTACAATGGTCCTTTATAAATGTTATGTTGTCTTTCTTTTTAAAAAATATATATCCCATCCATCTTATCCTTATCCAGCACTGCTTTGTTCTTTCTCCTGTACTGTCACTATTATTCCCTGACCTTAGTGTGAGCTAGAGGGATAGTTTTCCCTAGTTTTCTTCATTCACTTCTTTCTAGCCTATTACATAATATATTTCCTTTTCTTTGTTTCTTTGAATTTTTGAATTTTCCTTGATAACTTTCTCATAGCACTCCATTTTTAGCTTGCTTGTGTATATATTTGTCAACTTTTATTAACTATATTATGAACCTCTTAACATAGGGAATAGCTTTGTTATCTTATTTTCTAAAACCTTTCTGCATAGCTACATTGTGGTAAGTAAATTAAATAGATGCTCTTTATATTGCTGCCTGGCTCTTTTTTTCTTATATTAGAAGTGCCCTTAAATATTGCACTCTTTTCCTTTCTGTTGCTTCATATTTAGCCCTCTGTTTTAAAGATTGTTTTCCAAGTCTTTGAGTTTGCCATATTAGACTATTTGCCAGCATTCTGTCAGTTCAGCCTTCATTCTCTGTCAGTCTAGAACTGTGTGTGTGTGTGTGTGTGTGTGTGTGTGTGTGTGTGTGTGTGTGTGCTAGATAACCTTTATTGATAATCTACCATAATTTAATACTGATATTTTTATGAGGCTAACTGCTAATTTCAGTCTTTTTTCAGAGTAAGTTCTTGAAAACTCCTCCCATGAAATAACAACCTAAACTAAATAATCACTTTTCGAAGTTTTAAAATCTTCTATCCAGTATGGTTGTCTCATTGGTTGTGGTTGTTTTTAAAATCTTTAGGTGATATGTATATTCCAGCATATTAAAGAGATTTTTTACTTAAATTTTCACAAATCAAGAAATATTTAAAATTAGAACATATTATCTTTGCCATTGACTAAACATACTGTAGTTTTCATGTTACTTAATATAAAAATATAAAACATGTCTAGTTACATATGAGAGCCTTTGTCTTTATGCAGGGATTAAATACATGCTGTTTTTTCTATTGCAGAGAAATAAGCAATGGAATAGAAAAAAAAGGAAAGAAAAAATCTGTAGGTCGTCCTCCTGGCCCATATACGAGAAAAATGATACAAAAAACTGCTGAGCCACCTTTGGTAAGAGGATATGTTGATATATGTTCCCAAAGAGGAAAATTACTAAGGTGCTAATATTTTTTTCCTGCTTACTGTACAACCATGCTTTAACTCGATTTTTTTTTTTTTTTTTTAATCTTCCAGGATAAGGAATCAGTTTCTGAGAATCCTGCCTTGGACTTACCTTGTTCTATAGGGTAAATAGAAAGTTATTTTCTTCTTTCCAAGAATTTTTTTAGGAGAAAGTAGTGTTTCTATTTTTGTGTAATATAGTTGCTATACCACTTAAATTCTTTTGTCTCAGGATAACTGAGGGAACTGCACATTCATCCAATACCTCAGATATGGATTTCACGGGTGCTTCCGGTACAAAAGAAACTACCTCGTCTAGTATTTCCAGGCATTATGGGTAGGTCTTTTTGTTTTTCTTCTTCACTAATTTTCTTTCACATTGCTTTTCATAGCAAAGTAATGGTTGAATAATTCTTTACCCACTGAAGTTGATACAGATGTGCTTTTTGAGAAAAAGTCCATGTGGAGATTCACTAAGTTTTTAATATTCATCTGAATATTTGTTCTGCTCAGAGTACAAACATTAAGTTTTTCAAATTTATTGGGAAATTTTCTCTATAGATGTTGAAGACTTTTCTGATAGGCTGTTTACTGTTTATACCATACAAATATACCTTGGTTAAGGAAATTTTTTAAAGAATTGAGTACAAATATGTTTTTATTAGTAAAAAGATTTTAAACTCAGAATTTTCTTTTTCAAAATTAAAAGTAGCATACGCTAGAGCCTAAGGCCAGAGGATTGTGATTTCAAGGTTAGCCTGGGCTACTTATTGAGATTCTGTCTCAATAGTAACAAAAATAGCAAATCCTTTTTTAGTATTTCTTGTAATTCAACTTGTCAGACAAATTTTTCCTACAGCATATCATATCAGATATGAAAAGTTCATTTTCTAATTGGTGTAGAATCATTAGTTTTTAAGTTTGAAATGTTCTTTTTAATTCTTACTCATAATTAAAAAACTGACCTGTAAATTATTAAAATTCTAAGTTAAAGGTTAAAGTATAACCTGTTAAAATAATAATAATGTGGAATATTTTTTGTTCTTTTACTTTGTATTCCACAAAGCTACTTAAGTACATTATCTGATGTAATTTTTAAAACAAGAAAAATTTTGAGATGTATGCTGTTATTCCCATTATTTTAGATGCAGTATCTTGAGACTGACATGAAGAGGGTATTTTGTGACAAGCCCAGTATTGTATATTTAGCAACTATAATGACACTGAATTGTTACCTCAGGAATTATGATTTTATTGAATTTTTCTGCTCTGTTCTTCTTTTGTTATAATACTCTTTTCTCACAAGAACATAAAATCCTTGTATTTATGTGGTGGAAAAGACCTAAAGATCTTTTTCAAGTGAACACAGAGGATAAGAAATTTCAATTTGGCCAAGTAATAGAGTCAGAGTTAGACCTAGGGCGCCTTGACTTCTAATTTGTGCTTATTATATTATTTCACTATGCCTAGAACTGGTAATAAGAGAACCTTTATTTTATTTTAGTATTTAAGCATGTGGAACAGTGTCTTGTTGTGCTTTTTCAGTATTTGAGTCAGTGAATTAGTGAACGAATGAATGAATGAGTAATTAATGGTCATTGTTTTCAGTGAGATAGTTGATAATATCAGACATAGGGCTTCTTGGTAAGAATTTGCCTATTTGTCCTCCTAGTTAAAATTTTGCTCTGATTGTTTAAAGCTTAATAATAGTACAGAGTTAAGGAAGAAAAACATATACCAAGGTCCTAAGGTGTTGGAATCTAAAGAAAATGAAAGCATGTGATAGTTTATTTATATACCATTCACATTTGTGTTGGTTTGGTTTTTTGTTACAAAAGGTATATAATTAGAGTGGCCCAAAAATAAACAGGCTATATTATGTGGGCCTAGGATGCTTTAAAAACCTAGTCTACAATTTTGGCCTTTTCTGTTTCATAGCTTATCTGACTCCAGAAAAAGAACTCGCACAGGTAGATCTTGGCCTGCTGCAATACCACATTTGCGTAGAAGAAGAGGTCGTCTTCCGAGAAGAGCACTCCAAACTCAGAACTCAGAAATTGTAAAAGATGATGAAGGCCAAGAAGATTATCAATTTGAAGAACTCAACACAGAGATCCTGAACAACTTAGCAGATCAAGAGTTACAACTCAATCATCTAAAAAACTCCATTACTAGTTATTTTGGTGCTGCAGGTAGAATAGCATGTGGCGAAAAGTACCGAGTTTTGGCTCGTCGGGTGACACTTGATGGAAAGGTGCAGTATCTTGTGGAATGGGAAGGAGCAACTGCATCCTGACTGTAGGACTGAATATTATGTTCACTGCACTCATTATCTGTAGGTACAGTTCAAAGCACTAAAGGAGTCTGGCTTTTGCTATCTTTCTTAAAAAACAACATCATCAAAAACAAAATAGTCACAGATGATACTAGCCTTAACATGTACTTGTCAATGTTATGGATATTGTCAAAAAAAAGATATCTTTTAAAAATCAGAACAGAGACTTAATTTTTTAAATCATAAGATTTGTAGAATGTTTCTAGGGTAGGATATTAAAAAATGATTCAAATCCATGCATGGTGTTAGATAATTTTTCTAATTATTCCATTGAGTCAGTTTTTGTGCTTAGTGGTTATCAGAGCAAACAGATCGTGTAGATAGCACAAGTCTTTGGAGAAACATTGTCTGTTTTGTTATACCAAAATGTTGGGGAAAAATTTATTTCAGTAACCTTTTAGATTTCATAAAGTGCAGTGTATATAATGCCTACCGAAAGACTGTAAAATATTGAAATTTTCTTTCAAGCAAAGTGTAAAAAATATATTGAGCCTGTAAATTGCTCTGTGACTAGACTTCATTGTCGTCTTAATATATTCTTTGCATGTGCATATATATACACATTTGTGTATATATATGTGTGTGATTATGTGACCTATGCAATACAAATTATGGGAATGGGCAGCTTTGGAGTATATATCCCATAATTCTTTTTTCAGGAATAGTTGCAGTATTTACACAGCAGCATTTCTTCTCAGGCTTTTATTGGGTGCTGTTGCTTGCTATGTATGAAGAGAAATGTGTCAAACAAGTTTAGTGTGTACTGAAGAAGGGTGTGAACAACAGTGTTCATGGGCTTTTAGAATGCTTTTCACTCTCAGTCCTTGTAACTCAGCTGTTCAATATCTAAAGCAAATACAAATAATATCAACATTATTTCCTACCAGAAGTAACATTTTCAAGTTTTCATGGCACATTTGATTGTAAATGTCTCTCACTTTTAACAGTAAGTCTGTGGGAATCGGGTGAAGATTCCTGAAGTGTCTGTAGTAACTGTTAGTCATGTTTGAATAAGTGTAGTGTGAACAAAGTATTTTATTGCACAGGGTTAACAAACAGTATGTTGCCAGCTGAGGCTTCTGCTGTTTTATTACAACATTACCTCTTGTTTTTATAAAATGTACCAAGATTTAAATTGATAACTTTATTTTACATGTTTAAAAAAAAAACAGTTTCTTTTATCACCAGTGTTAGAGTTGTCTTCTGTTTCTTTTTGTTTTGTTCTGTTTTGTTTCTTAGCCAAAGAGTAAACAGAAGAATATTCTTATTTTGGTGGCTATACATTTTACTTTTAAAAATGATTCGTGGATTTTAGACAAAGAATTGGAGAATTTGCTGCCAAAATGGAAAATATGTAAAGTGTAGTGATGACAAAGTGGTGAAAATGTGGGTTAGTGCTTATTTATTCCATTAATGATTATTTGACTGTTTATAAAGAAAGTTGCTTTATTTCTTTAAACATCTTCAAAAGATGACTTTTTCTTATCACATTATAGCCAAAAGAAGCAGAAAACTTCACTATTCTGCATTTGGTTCCTGGTTTACCAGGTATAAATGAGCTTTACAAAAGTGCAAATCAAAAACTGTCACTTCTGTTTACCTCCACCAAAACTTGATTTTCCCCTAGCTATTAATTTAAAGTTGCCTTTCTTGCAGCTGCAATATTTTGAATAACACAGAGTTTGTGTTGATTTTTGAATGTTTGTTTATATCTAGGGGTAATGGAAAATGTAAATCCCGTGTACACTCCACCTGTATCATATTATTTCATTTTCCCCAAAGTCCTTTAATTCTAACTGAACACCACCAGCAGTATTTTTAGTAACTCTTTCTTTACCATACTTGGAATATGATTTACCAAGCTAAACTGTCTTTAGACGTAATTGTTGTGAATGTCTGTTTTATTTTATCATGGTGGTTCACATGGCTCTGATGTTCAGTTTGTATTTTTGGAATTGCTCTACTTAGAATTAAAACAGACCAACATTAAATGTGTGTATTTTTTAAAGAGCTAATGAGTTTTGCTTTTGTATTTGCTTGAAAATACACACTAGTGCAGTAGTTGACTGCTTTTATTTAGCTAGGGAGGTGTAAGGATTTTCTGATTCTATGCTGATAGGTTTTCTTTGAGTTACTCTTTATAAAACCTTGCTTCCTTTTCCTCTTACCCCCATATAATAATTAGTATTTGCTAAATGTTTATCTTAAACGATCTTTTAAAAATAAGCTATATTTATTCAGCTTGCACTTTATATTTGAAAGACAGTGTCTCTGTCTACTCTTTTTAAACATTTAGATTTCCTACTTGTTTCTTTTCTTATTTAAATAGAAAGAATCTGGGTTCACACAAAAGAATGTCCTTCCCCCCCTTAAATACTTTGCTCCTAGATTACAGAATGAAAAGATATAAAAATAATATATCTTACTAACTTTAATACCATTTTTATTCAAAACAAATACATTTTTATAAATACTCTGGTAGATTAACATAGATTCTTGGGCCCTTAAATGACTGAACTGGAGCAGAATATGAGTAATTAGAATTACTGTGAATGTCTAAATCTCCAGTTCTAATGTAACTGATAAAGTTAGGTTTTGCTAAGTATATTTTGTCAGTAATTAGTACTCACTGATGAAAGGTTGAAGGATGTCCCATCCCCAATTTGGGGTTTTTTTTTTTGTTGTTGTTGTTGTTGTTTTTTGCAATTATGTTCTGGTATTCATTTTTCATTTTTATCCTGTATATATTTAGAAGATTTATCAGTGTTGAGTATAGAATGCTTGTATTATGGGCTCCTTTTTTTGTTTTTTTTGGTACTGGGTATTGAACTCAGGTCCTCGAGCTTGCGAGGCAGGCAGCAGTGCCACTAAGCTAAGTCCCAGGCCCTATGGGCTACTTTTTCAGAATACTAGATACTCTTAAATTTCTGATGGAACATAATTTGACTTAGCTCTTTCTAACAGAGTGTTTAGTAATGTGTTCTGAAGTTCTTTGAAAATGTGGTGGTAAATGTCATGCAAAATTATGTGGGGAAATGTTTCTTAATTACATCCAAACAAAGCATTCCCAGGCTTCCTTTTAGTTTAGTTTAGCAGTTAATCACGCTTTTTCCTCAGGAATACAAAAACTTGACAGTTAAATGTAAAGTAAGAACTTATCATGGATGGTTTTCTAATCTGTAGGAGGAATCCGGGTATATCTTTTTGATACAAATTTAGAGATAGGAGGTATGGTTAAGCAGACTGAGTAGATTGAAACCCATATGAGACTAGTTGTAATTCTTAAGTTGAAATAGCAGAATGTCTTGGACTAATAGCTAAATCAAGATGCTCTGCTAGATTTTTATTCAAAATTAGAATAAGATTTAAAAATTAATTAGCCTGCTCGCTTTTGTTTCTTCTCCCCTCTGCACAACAAAATCCTTCTTTCTTTAGCTTCATTTACATTTTGTCTTGTTGGAGATAATTATAAAAACTGGGTACCTAGTAACTCATTTGTCCAGTATCTTCAAGGAATATAGTTTGTCATTCAAGAAATTTTTCACTGGATTTAAACAAATAATACTTTCAAAGGTGATATAAAATGTACTTTTAGGTAAAGCAGAAAATTTATTCTGTTCAAAATTTTACTAGTCTACTTCTGCAACTTGTATTTACTGAAAGGTGTTCAGTCTTCTTCCCCCACCTCTCACCCTATAACTTGCATTCCCAGTGAGGGTGACGTCTCTAAATGGGCAAAAATTGGTTTGGGAGAGGGGACAAAACCTTAGAAAATGGTTTCTGGCCCTTCAGTGTTTAACCTACTGAACAACAATCTTCATTTCTTAGTATTTAATTACTCTTATGTTTTCTTAGCACAAGAGCAGTATTGACATTGAGTACAGTGGGCCGTGGATTTGGCTCAGTGGTTCCGCCGCCTGCCTCGCAAGCACAAGGGCCCGAGTTTGATCCCTGGTATCAAAAAACAAAACATCGACATTGAGTACATGGATCAGTCACAAAATAATGTGTATTTTGTGCATACAGATCATTTGTACATGTGTACTGTGAAACTATAGCAGATGGGCATTTTTTTTTTTTTTTTTGATGGACTGATAGCTTCAACTTGAAAACATTTTGAGAGTCTGCACATAACAGTTGCCATTTGTTGGAGATGTTTGATCTTTATCCTGGTCTTGTATCTGACCTGGGGTTGGGGAATTAAATAAAGCTATTTTATATTTTGTTTTATTCTACCAAGGTTATTTAGCACATCATTAATTATGTCATATTCTAACAGGAAAAACTGACTATATAAAAGTGAAAAAGAGGGGTATGGTACCAAGATTGAATATAGAGTCTCATGAGTGCTTAGTACACACACTCAAATTGAACTATATTTCTAAGACAAAAGTTTTTTAAAGAAATTAAGAGTTCCAGGAGTTTTACTTTTGCTGGAAAAGTAGCATTTTTAAAATGAATTTTAAAATTTTGTAATATGTAGCTGTTACATTAGTCACTAAATAGCATATATAATTTGACACATTACAGTTTTTATAAATTGCTTTAAAGTTATAGGGATGGGGATTTAGCTGAGTGTGCAAGTGCCTGTCTGGCAAGGGCAAGGTCCTGAGTTTGAACCCTAATACCTGATGACCCCCACAAAAAATTACTCAAAATGCTATTGAAATGTAAGTTAAATAGGATGACAGTACCATCTAGGATCAGTAATATATTCTTTGTGGTAGACTGTAAATATTGTCATTGTAATCAATAGTTAATACTAGTGGAATGCAAGTAATTTTTCCTATGTAGAATTTAAGATAGTAGAAATAGATGAGTATTTTTTTAACAAGAGCCCTCTTTATACAATAAGCCTGCTTAAACAGCCTTGAAAATAAAACTTATCTTTGAGAAATGTGGAAGTTAAAAAAATGAAAGTTGGAAAAAAATTTGGAGAATGAAAACCTATTGGCTCATCTACCATTTGGTGGGAGGCTCAATTTGGTTTCTATATTAACTTTTTTCAGTATCCAAGGGTATGTTCTGTAACAGAACCATTATAAAAAAGTCATTTTAATTATAATATTTCAGAACCTTATACTTAGATTTTTCTGTTATTTTTAACTCTGGATATAAATTGTCCAGTGAAGAATTATTTCACTAGAGACCTATTTTTCATACCTCTTTATAAAAAATACCAGGAACACTAAAAATGTCTCTTTATTGAAGGGTTTTCTAGAATGTATTAAATATTTCATGCTCTTATAAACATTTTTGGCAAGTTAACCTTGTCTGCTGTGAGATTATAAACATTCATTATTATGTGTTGTTGTAATACGGTGGTCCAGGGGTCTGGATGTAGTTAGTGGGCTCTTATCCTGATTTTTCTTTATTACCTAGACTAGGTGGTACTTTTTAATTTAATTTAATTTATTTAGGTTCTGGGGATCAAATTTGGGACCTTGTACTTGCAAGGCAGGTGGTGGCACCACTGAGCTAAATCCCCGGCCCAGTGGTACTTTTTTATATGTATGTTTTTCCTGTGTCTTTCTGTAGGATTCCTCTTTTTAATCCGTTTTTATTAACAGTGCATTAAGTGGCTTTTTTCCCCTTCTTTTCCACCTAGTTTCTAAACATGTAAGGATGTGGATTTAGCTCAGTGATTCTGCTGTCTGCCTTGCAAGCCCAAGGTCCCGATCCCCAGTAACAAAAATAAATAAACAAGCATTATATGGGATAGAGCGGAAAGAATTTAAGTGAGGTTTTCTGGGACAATCAGATAATCATGTGAATAAAAGTTTGGGCCTGAGTTTACTCACAACATTGATTTCTTTTTAGACTGAAGATTGAATTATTTACTCCAAAGAAAAAGTAAATGGCATCTTCTTATATTGTTCATTACTCAAGAGATTTATTTTTTATTTTTATTTTCTTGCTTCCTACCTTACGAAATAGAAGTCGTTGAGGTGTTTAGAAGTATCACAGCTGGATAATTGTGATAGGAGTATAATGTGCGGTGTATAAGTTGATTATCTTGTGGCTCCCTAATCCATCTTCATGGTTCCTTCAGATGTCAAAAATTGCCTGGCCTGTATAGTATATCCTGTGGTTTTCTACTAATGGGCGGGTTGTTTAAGACTTATTACTAGAGTAGGTTCATGTATGCTGTGTTATGAGAAGAACAGAAATGTGGACATTAAGTATAGCACCATTTTAAAGAACAGCCACTTGATACGGTATGGTTTTACCACATGTTCGTATATCTTAGGCATAAGAGAAACCCAATGAAATAGAGAGGAGATGTTATTTTAGCAGTAACCTATTGTTAATTCTCACTGCTTTATAGGCTAAATCAATTTAAGAATTGATATTATAAATTGATTATTGTTCAGTACTTTAAGTGCCAAAATTGTATGCAGTTAAAATGTCAGGTTTGATATCATAATTTCCAATATCATACTTTTACCAAATACATTTAGTAATGTTTATCAAATAAATTTGCTTTGTTTCCTGACTTTGGCTAAGTTGGGAAAATATAAAATTAAATTACACTACAGTGACTGTTACCTTTATATAAAAGGTTGGGTCAGTGGGCTGGGGATTTAGCTCAATGGTGCCTCCGCCTGCCTTGTAAGCGCAAGGTCCAGAATTCAAACCCCAGTACCACAAAAAAAAAGTTGGATTAATTTCGTGATTTTTCATTCTTTATTCATTCATTTAGTTAGTTATTTTTGGTGCTGGGGATCAAATTCAGGCCCTTGTGCTTGCAAGGCAGGCAGCAGAACCACTGAGCCAAATTCCCAGCCCCTGGAAATTATTTTTAAACAATATCTTTAAATGCTTCGAAACAGTATTTATTTAGACTAAAATATTTTAAAATGCTGGGTGTGGTGGCCCATCTTATAATTTCAGCACTGTGGGAGACTGAGGTGGGAATGTCACAAATTTGAGCCCAGTCTGTGCAGTTAGTGGTTTAGTGACTTAGACTCCTTTTCAAAATGAATAAAGAACTGGGATTGTAGTTCAGTAAAAAGTCTGATTTCAATCCCCTCTGTTCAGTGTAGGGGTAAACACTTCTTTAAAATTATAAATGAAATATTTTTGTAAAGAAAATGTCAGATTTTTATCTGCTGGTTGAAGATACTAGGTTTCATAGATAAGCAGAATTACACAGTATCATTTGGAATGTAAGGGTTTAATTCATGGTTTAGGGTCACTGAATTGATATTTTTATACTTTTAGTGTACTCTGACTTAAGAAAAAGTCCAAATTGGATAACTTAGAAGTATAGCCTATGGGTAAAAGGAAGCACTGGATTAAAATTCGTCCTACATAATACTAAAATGTGAAATGTAAAAGCAATGAGAGGTATTGTAGTGAACATAAAATCATGAACTACAACTTCTATTCACCATAATTATTTTCTCTAGAAGTAGCATTTTGAGGGCCAGGGCTCAGTGGTTCCTCTGCCTGCCTCTCAAGTTTGACTCCCAGTACAAAAAAAAGTGCATTTTGATAATTACAGTCTACATGGGTAAAACTTTGGTGTTTACATCTTTTAAAATTGTATTCTCTTGGCTGTGTGCATTGTTTCACACCTGTAGACTTTAAAGAGCTGAGTCTGTGAGAGTACTTGCCTAGCATGAGTGTAGGTCAGGGTTTAATCTTCAATATGACCAAAAAATGTACCACAAAAATATCAACACATGGTCTGGGAATTCAGCTCAGTGGTTCTACTGCCTGCTTCGCAAGCACAAGGACCTGAGTTTGATACCTGGGACCAAAAGAAAAAGAAAAAAATTTTTTTTTAT